ATACAAGTATACAACTAATCACAGTTCAAACACTATCAGTTTTGCAACCACATTACATTCAGTTGTGCAATGAGCCAACATTTTATCAATGCATACAATACTATAGTATAGTTCATAGATACCTGAGCCAGGTGTCCCCATGCTTCAAGAAAACTTCTATCAAGTTGAAGTGATTTTAGATGTGCTTCCTCAGCTTTCTTATATTCACCAATTGAAGACAATGCCAGGCCCTGTAAAAAGACAATGTTTGCACACCATGTAAAAGAGAAGAAAAAAAAACATCAAGGGCTCTGAATGAATGAGGATTTAAATATTAAAACTTAGGACCCACCAAATATGTGTAGGCAGACTTATTATCCCTGTCTAGCTGCACACAAGCAGAAAGGTCCTCGACTGCACTATTGAACTCTTTAAACTTGAAATTCACTATTCCTGTATTGAATGTTAATGAAAAACATACATTAGACTAGATGCATTATCATGAAGAGTTACTCACTATAAAAAATAATTAGTTCAGTGTTATCACCACAATTATTTAGAATAAACTCACTAAATTAGAAATTAACTATGAGATATTAAACACATGCAGGATAATATCAATAATAAATAGTACAAACTCATTTCACATAAAACCGGTGAAAGCTCTGTCTAGACTTTAAAGAGTTGCAACAAGATAACATGCATGCATCAATCACTTATTGAAAAAACAAGATGAAAACACTCTCGGTGTTAGACAAGATACCTCTCTCGTGTAAAATGTCTGCTGTGTTGGATTCAAACTCTAATGCCTTAGTCAAGTCTTCGATAGCCTGACATAGGAAACTGTGGTCAGTGTCACATTTATGGTTGTTATTTGTGTAAGAAAATCATAATATACAAACAGAAGTGACCCAAGTAAGGCCTTACAAGAAGCACCAAAAAAAATTTCAATCTTTCATAGTGCATGGTGCAATAACATGAATCTATCGCATTAAAAACCACACAACTCTGAACAACCACATTAGTTTAGTTTAGACCGAAATAAATAAAGGAAAACTCTTGAATATAACTCCATTTGTACGGGTGGAACTGTTCTCTTATAAAAAAAATGACGTGTGCTTTTTGTTTAAAATTCAACAGTTTTTCCATTTTCAATCTAACCTCTTTGGTTACACCAGAGTAGATTGAATGACGCGGGTCAGATGCATTGTGGGTCTGACTTCCAAGAAGTAATACAAGCATCGTATCATAACAAAAGAACAAAACCAGGTGCCTTAGGCACTGTACCTAAGTTTTCTCCATAAAGAAGAGATTTCAATCCGTAATGTGTAATCCGTATCAAACCCACACCTTAGTTAAAGAAACAGGCATACAAAAATAAAAACCAAAATTTTTTGCCATTTAAATTTTCTGCAATAAATTTGGTAGACTTCATTATTTGAGTGTACTAAAATATCCAACTATTTAAACAATCACGGTGATATTTCAATCAGAAATGGAATTTAGGTAAAACTTGAAAAAGTGAGACAGATACTGAGATAGAGTAAGCACTCACCTCAACGAACTCCCCCAAGGCTGCTCGGGCCTGACCTCTCCTCTTCCATGCCTCACCAGCTGATGGGTTGAATTGTATAGCCTAAGGTTTACAACACAGAAACTACTTGTAAATTGACGGGAAAAAACATCAATAAGCACCATTCCAATATTTTGTGTAAATACCTTGGTAAAATCATCTATGGCAAAATGAAGTTCTCTCTTGAATGCAAATGCCGTCCCTCTTCCTATCAGTGCCTCGGGATATGCAGAGTCTTCTTTCAATATCTGAGTGTGTGATGGAGACAAGTCCACAGTTTGATATTTGATGATCAATAAAAATTAAAAAGAGGATACAATAACAATTACATTAAAGGAACACTCCACAAGTATCACTATGGAAGACAACACTGCACCTGGTCAAAAATGGATATAGCATGAGCATATTTCCCTTCGTTAACCTACAAATAATCACAATATCAATTACGCAATTAAACAGATAAATACTACAAATCAGCAGTTGCGGAAACAAACCTCTGCTATTCCCCGTGAAAGCCGAAAATCTACACTTATAGACTTTGTCTTTGAAATCCGAGCAACAGAGAACTTTTTATTTTTCCTTGCTTCGCTACTTTTTTCACTGGGGAAAGTAAACTTAAAACTGGGCTTTTTAAGAATTTCAGGAGCATCGTTTGAGTCACTTGATTCACCGCTATTAGTAAATACTTTATCACATGATTCTGAATTATCACTTGAATCATTACACGACTCAGAGTTATAGCGCAAATTATCAATAACATCAGGGCTTCCATTCACTTGGCCATCACATTTATTAGACTCTCTACCTTCACTATTTAGTTCATTCTTTGCATCAAATTTATCAGTGGACTTTAGAAAGATCTCAGATTTATCACTTGTATTGCCACATAGTTTAGCCTGGCTTTCACAAGTTTCAGTCAAGTTCTTATTACATGAAGAATCTGATTTGGCTTGCACCATGGGCAGTCCACTGGTTTCATACGATGCATTGTTACCTTGTTTTTCTTTCACCAAAAGCTCTTCAAGTTCTAACAACTGCTTCAAATCTGCAGATTGATGCTGAGCAAGTTCAAAGCCTTGCTCCCATACCATTAAAGCATCTGCTTTCCTTCCCAAAGCAAAAAGCGCATGACCTAGATGACAGAACGAAAAACAGTATAAGTTCAAAAGCCACTGTCTATTTCAATGAGTTTTTGTTATTTGAACATCAAAATACAGAGAGACCGTAAGTAAAACCGTATGTTTATCTCTATCTTATTTAGTACTCCCTCCATCCTAATTTACAAGGAAAAAAACTAATTTTTCGTGTCCAAAATTATAAGAAGAAAAAAATAACTTTCATCTTGTTTCAAAAAAATACTTATTCCGGTGAAATCGAATGAAAATTGCATGTAATTTGTTATCCCTCCCATTTTCTCTATAACCAATAACCAATAAATTTTGTTTATACATCTTCCTGTGAAACTTTTTCCAAGAACAAGTTATACTTCAAATTATTATGTTTTGGTTTTCTTAATAAATTACTCTCTCCGTAACGAATTATAAGCAAATTAGACTTTTTTTTGTACATTTGACAACTAATGTATGTAGTCTATATATGGACTATATACATTAATTGTCAAATGAACCAAAAATGTCAAATTTGCTTATAATTCGTTACGGAGGGAGTATGCTTCAAAAATACAGACCAAAACCAAAGGACCTCAAAATTTTGATATCAAAATATATTTTCTCATTTCAACATGAAACTTCATAAAAGAAATCAAGTGATGATAATTTACAAACAGCATCAATAAACAAATTAAAAATCTTAATCAAAAATCCAAAGTCAAATTCAGTTATAAGTAATCCATCAATTATTCATACTAGAACTCAATAGCACTTATCATGATACTAACTAGTAACTACACAGCAGATATTTCTGTACAAACAATTTGATAAAGTAGATAAAGCTGAATGAAATCAATTAACAACTGAGAAGAAACCTTTCAGAATGTAAGCTTGAAGATGCAAGGAGTTAAGCTGAATCGCTCTATCGCAATCCTTAATCACATGCTTATGCAGTTCCAATTGGCTATAACAGAAGGCTCGGTTACTGAAAACAAGCACAATAACAAAATTGAACAAAAATCAGCATACATGAGACTAATTAACAAACATCGATTGCAAATTGAATCGGAGAGAATTGAAAATTGCACCAGATATCTTGAACAGCAGCAGACTGAGAAACGAGTGAATCGAGGATTCGAATTGCCTTGGACCAGTCCTTGGAGCTACAGAGCTTGGCGAGCTCGGTGCGATGAGAGGGAGCAGAAGCCATTGATGAGAACGGAACAGAGTTTCGCGAGGGTTCAGATGTGGAGGATTTTGGGGATAGAGTTTGAAGATGTAGAAGGTGAGGGTAAAATGGGGAAAGTGGGTTTAACAGGAAATTGAGGTGAAGGAGCGAAGTTGAGAATAAGGGTGGGGCGTGAAATGGAAATGGAATGAAACGACGCGCTTAACGCGTGGTGTACACGTGCGATAAAAAGGATGGGTTGGCCCAAAGGGGTTTGGGTTTTTCGAGAACCGGAGTTTCTTACGAACACAAAATGTGTGGAAATGAACGGATAAAGATGATGATTTTAGATGCTTTTATTAGTTCGGAGTTTATTGATGGGATTTCTGCTTTTTCCATGCATGTGTCAGTGATAATTATAAAAAGATGTAAAACCAAATTATAAAAAATGTAAGAGCAAATTATAAAATGCGTTATAGGTTATAGGAGATAAGAAAGGGATGAGCTATTGTGGGAGCAAAGAATCAGAGTTTATATTTTTTTTTAAAATCGTTAGGATTGATGTTGTAATGAGACACATTTGTGGTCACCTAATCTTTTCTAAATAAAAAAATGAAACAGTGAGTTGAGATCTTTGCTAACCTTTGGGTTTCTTACTTTCTTTTGCTTGAATTAAGATATACAAACTATCATTTTAAAGAGTTTAGAATAAAAGTGTATAAAAAAATAATTTGATCCAATAAATCTTATTTACTCCCTCCCTTTTGTTCTATTTATAAGAAAAAAATTATATTTTAGATATATTGAATGAATCTAAAAAATTAATTTTTTTCTTATAAATAAGATTAGAGATAATATTAAATTTATTTATTTACAAATTTATAAAAAAAGAAAATTATATATAGGATCTTAACTTCATTTTAAATAAAATTTACAAAGAATATATCTTGAGTGTATTTTCTGTTAGATATTAACCCTTTAAATAAAGCAGACTCAATTAACTCGAAGACCCTATTCTAAATTAAAAAATAAGCTTAAATAAATAAAATAATTTAAATAATTAAAAATGATGCACCAAAAATCCTACTATATATTAACCAAAGGAAGTATTAAAAAGTTTAAAGTAATGTTAAAACTATAAATAACGTTTCATATAATAAAAAAAAATTAATTACTTAAAAAGTGTCTTTTTCCGAACACTTTTTAAAGTAAATTCATCAAGTAAATTTTCATATTTTATTGTCTCTAAAAGATCATTTTCAACTGCTATCAATATCAATTCATTCGGTCTTTCTTGTGACATGGTAGACCACAAGTAAGTCTTTAACAACTTCAATTTTAAAAAACTAACTTCTTTCTGCAGTAGCAGCTGTCACCGGAATAGTCAATAAAATTCTATATGCAACAATTGTATTAAGAAAACAATCCAATCCTTTCGAAAATAAATAATATATCAGGAGGTCTTATGCTTTCTTCATGCAACCTTCTCTTAGTAACTTTAACTCCGCAAAAAATTCATTCCCATCAATATCAGATTGTTCATTATGTTCCATTACTCGTTCAAAGTTAATACAACAAGACTTCAAAATTGCATCATTCAATGATTGTAATTTGTGAGAAGTAAAAAAGAAACCAAAAATACTTTTGTACTCTTGGTATTACTCAAATCTCTTATTAAGAGAAACAACAGTTTGATCAACAAGGTAAAGAAAATAATTAACCCTAAAAGATTCCTCTTCAAATAGCTCAACTACTGGAGTATTCAAATTCTCATCAAACTGTCTTTTTCTTTTAATTATGCGTCTTTGAGAAAATAGAACGATATTCAATTCAATCGCAATTTCCTTAGCATTAAGTAGTGCCTTATAAAAATCAGTTTCTTTATATACTTCAAAAAATGAAATCAACTCCTTTATTTTTTCCTTAGCAACATCAATAAGCATATCCTTTTTCAGTAAAAGTTTGCTAACATAATTAATTGCAGATAATATTTCAAACCAAATAATTATAGCTATCAAAAAGACTATAAGAGAATGTATCAAGAAGGATGTATGGTCTTTGATAAAACATTATGGCGAAAGTTGATCTATGTAGTCGACCTCACCTAGTGGGATAAGGCGTAGTTGTTGTTGTAAAAACTCAAAATCACCAAGCTCATTTGTTGCTAAGGATTTAGCTTCATTTTGTATTTTAGGATCGAGATCATTTTCCGACCCTTCAAGTAAAGCTTCTGTAAAATCTGAAATTTGAGTTCTTATAGCTTTGACACTTTTTACACGACTCTCCCGATGAGTGGATGACAATGATTTTGGCGTCAACTCTTTTATATTATTTTTCAAAACTTGCAATCTCTTAGTGGAATTGGCAAAATTTATATAAATGCGTTGAACAACTCCAAAAAAAAATCCAACTTTATTACAAAAGCAGTCATATCACACGGTGTCAAATTAAGACTATGACAACCATAAGGAGTATAAAAAACTCTCGAATTTAAATCTAAAAATCTCTTTTATACACCTTGATGCTTTCCTTTCATATTTGATCCATTATTATAATTTTGTCCTACTTGAGATTAAATCAACTCTTCAACTCTTTTTTCCTTACATTTATTATTTCCACATTCATACTATTCGTAGGAAGCATAGTTAGAAAAAACCTGAAATATCTCACAAAATTTACTATGCAGCTAATGAACAATTCCGCGGTATTAACTTGCAAGGAACTATTTATAGTCACGTTGTTAAATTGTGTTCCTACAATAAAATTAAAATCACACATGCTGTTAATTGACATGACAAATATAAAATATTTATATAATAATATAAAAATAACATGATGTAAGGTATGTTGAAACAAAAGTATATAAAATAACTGTTGTTACAATTTACAAATGCAAGTTTTATTCATATAAAGTATTTGCTAGTAAATAGAAAATTAGAAATAAAAGTATAGATAACAATAGCATATGGCATTATGGCAATATAAAAGAATATACAGGAAACAACGTAATTGATAATTGAATTGAATAAAAAAACAGTTTAATTAAATTGATTATGAAATTTGAATAAGAAAAAGAGATACGAAATTATTGTTAAAACGAAAGAGTGGAGTGAGTTGTCTCTTTTTCCTTTTTATCAGCCAACAAAGTAATAGTACTAAAACAAACAACTTGCAAATGAAAAACACTTCTTCACCGATTTATAACAACCAAAATGAAATTGATTATAAAATGAAATTGAAAAGCAAAATGAAAGTAATAACTTGCTGAAATTGATTTATCAGCAAACAAAGTAACAATACTAAATTGATTATAAAATGAAATTGAAAAGCAAAATGAAATCATCGTTCATCAGGTTGTAACCCTTTGTACTATTGATTTCAAAATGAAAAGCAAAATACCAAACAAATAGTCTAAAAAGAACATCAACCGGAAGAAACTTACCGACTGAACCACACTGCACCGACGTGACGCCGTCGCCGTCGTCGCCGTTACGTAGTATCTCGTTTTGTTTTGTGTCGTCGTCGTCGACGGCCTGGTTATGTGGTATCTCGTTTTGTTTAGCTTAGTTTAGTCGTAGTTATGTGGTGGTATCTCGTTTTGTTTGGTTATGGAAAAGAAAATGGTGACCGACGTTTGAACTTTGGAAAAGAGAGACTGGAAAAGAAACCAAACGTTTGAGAAGGAAGATACTTAATAACATTTATTTTTAATAATATTAATAATCTGAAGTAATTAAAAAAATGGGTTCCCCACATTTTGAGGCCTGTATAATTTGCTGCGTTTGGAAAGGGCCGGCCCTGCCTTCAAAATAATATTTTAAGTTCAATTCAAAAAATTTATTTTATCTAAATTGTAATCGTTATGTACAAGAATCAGAAATAACTGGAGATCAAATAAAATAAAGTTTTGATATGGTGGAGTAAGCTTTTCATATGCGGAATAGGAGTAGATATGTAAGACTAATATTTCAACGTTTAAGTTAGTGAATAAGTGAGAAAGTAGTTCGAGTGTGTGAATGAGATAATGTCTAAAATAGCATGTATTGTGATTTATATAGTGTGAGCGGTTAAAACCGTCTCTGTGAGATCTAGCATCTCGTGCGGTTTATCGTCCGATCAGATCCAATAATGAGAAATGTGTTAGAGGCTAAAATCACGTCTCATTGGTTGGGGTAAGGTCTGGTTATGCGCGTTTTATTTTATCTAAATTGTAATTGTTAGCTTCCCTCAAACCCTTACTCTTACTCGTAGAACGAGAGTTTGTCGTGTGTGTCTTCAGTTTGCTTCTAGCATAAAGAAATGAAAGGATTTGATGGGACATCAATAACATTATGAACATGTACATTAAATATCTCTCTTGTGATTAGAAATATTTCACTACGGAGTCTCAATGTGTGGTACTATGTTTGATAGCAATGATGTATTTTTTTACTAGGGTATTCGAGTGTTTGGAAAAGTCTGAGGTAAGATCTTGATCGTTGGGGGTGCAGTTTGCGCTTCCCAATATCTCTACTATAGTTAGGAGTCTCGAATATTCCATCTTCCATTCTTATATGTTTACAACTTCTTTAATTTTTATCAATATTCTTTTATTGGTCGTCGTTTTGACACATTTATGCCAATTTTAAATAGTTAGATTAGTGAATTATGACAAAAGCAACTCATGGATTATATAGACATGTTAATGTTGTTGAACTTAAATTTTCATCTAGGTTATTTTTATTTAGGTAAGTGTTTATTAAGAATATATTGTAGATGGTTAAAGTGAAAAGAATTGTAAGTGTTATATGCGTTTCTCCTTTATATACTTAGTCAAGAATATAGACTTAAGATCGGCAAAACATCAAGTTTCAAAATATAGACTTAAGTATAAATATTGAAGAACTTGTGTAGAGCATAAAAGAATATGCAATTATCAAAAACAAATCAACAACAAACATATAAAAAATCTGTTGTAAAAGAGACAAGGGAAAGATATACAATTTTTTTTATCAATTTTAAACTTTTTTTGTTAACAAAAATATTTATATCAATCATATTTTTCTAATTTATAAAAATATTTGTATCAACAATACATTTTTTCCGTTTATTAAAATATTTATATCAACAATACATTTTTTTCCGTTTATAAATATATTTATATCAACAATACAGTTTTTTACATTTATAAAAATATTTATATAAATAATATACATTTTTTATTTATAAAAATATTTATATTAACAATAGACTTTTTTCGTTTATAAAAATATTTATATCAATAATACGTTTTTTCCCGCGTTATAAATTTTTATTCAATAATACACATTTCATGTTTAAAAAAATATTTATATCAATAATATATTTTTTTTCATTAAAAAAATATTTATAATATATGATTTTTTTTTCTTCTAAAAAGTCATACAAATGATGACTCATAGCATCCATATCTTAATATATTAAATTTTAAAGATCTCAATATTTTTTATTGAGAAAGTTCTTAAAAAGAATTAGTTATCCGTGTTGACCAATCGTAACTCTTTCAAAAATAATTCATTAAAAAAATTATAAAAAAAAATATTTTCTTAATATTTGATTAAATACATTAATTTTTTTTACTTTTTATTAAAAAAAAGTGTTGTAAGTATGATAAGTGAATTAATTATTTTATTTAAAAGCCAATAAATTAATTTAAACTACTATATTAAAATGTAACAAAAATAGCATAATAAGTCTGTGTGAGGTTATCTCATATTTATTTATTTAGGTTAAATTATAATTTTGATCTTTCTATTTTAGTCGACTCACGAAATCAGTCTCTATATTTTATTTTGGCTTAAATGCAGTTTTGACCCCCCTAATTTAATGTTTTTGGAGTTTAGATCCCCCTAGTTTAAAAGCCAGGTTTCTAGTCCCCAAAATTTTTAAATTTGGGATTTTTGAAGCCCCCTCCATCTGGCTGCCCAAAAAGTGACATGGCACAGGGAGAGTAATGCCACGTATTATTTTCTTATTTCTTATTTAGAATAATATTTTTTAAACATTTAAATAAGTGATATTAATTTCCAAATGAATTTTTAATTTCATAATTCATATTTTCTGAAAATCCCAAATTGCTTAACCTAATTTCCTCTTCCATCCGCCCGTACGAGATTTCTTCTGATCATCTTCAACCCTCCTTCTTGGTACGACCTCCAACACTCCATCTTCGTCTTCCTTCTGTGGTATCAGCTTCAACCATCACACTCCTACTACATACTACCTTCACACTCTCTCTTAAAGCTTCGTATAATCATTCTGATATTTAGAGCGATGAGGAAAGATGGAGAAAGATATTCTATGAGGTAAGTTTTGTTGTCTTCTTGAACATGTTTTTATATAGTTCTGTGTGGTCCACCATTGTCTCATATTAGTGGGTTTAGTATTTTCTCTTTTGTGGTCCACCATGAACGAATATTCAATGTTTGGCTTTTAGTGAGGAACCTAGTGTAGTGAACTTGCAATCACAATCTGAAGATGAAGAGGATGGGGAACATTTATACACACCCCCTGGTACTGATGATGAAGAAGATCAAGAAAGGTTCCCAACATATAAAAGTGGGCAGGGATTACAGTTCAAGATAGGATTGATGTTTTCAAACAAGGAAACAATAAGAGATGCAATTAAAGAGTATGGAATGGAAAACCAAAAAAATGTCTATATCAGGAAGAATGATGCAAAGAGGATTATAGTTAAGTGTATGGATGGCTGCAAGTTTCACCTCAGGTTCAGTTTGAGGAATGGGCAACAGTATTGGCAAATTGTAAGTTATGAGAGTGACCATACTTGTTGCAGAACTGCAGACAACAGGAATGCTAAGACCCAATAGCTTGCTATAAGGTTTACACAACTTCTAAGGCACAGCCCATACATGAAACCAGCTGGTTTAGTCGCTGAAGCACTACAGAGATGGGGAATAAAGATATCAAGAGATCAAGCATATAGAGCTAAAAGGAGGGCATTGGACCTTATCCAAGGTGCTGGTTATGACCAGTTCAGGCACTTGAGAAGTTATGGAGAGGAGTTATTGAAGTCCAATCCAAAGAGTACAATTATTATAAAATGCTCAGAAAACCATGGCAGTCCTGCATTTGAAAGAATATATATTTGTTTAGATGCTTGTAAGTCAGGATTTGCCAAGTATTATAGACCAATAATTGGTTTGGATGCATGTTTTTTGAAGGGGGATTATGGTGGCCAATTGATGTCTGCTATAGGCAGAGATGCAAACAATCAAATATATCCAATTGCTTATGCAGTGGTTGAGGCTGAGACCAAAGATTCGTGGGAATGGTTCTTGCATATACTACTAGAAGATTTAAGAGCAGTCAATGATAGATGTTATGGCTTTATTTCTGACCAACAGAAGGTAACATTTAATTCTTATCTGTGCTTTTATTTATGACTAATAGAATGTAACATTTAATTATGTGTGCTTTATGTTAGGGTTTGGTTCCTGCTATCCAAGGCTTAAGTTCCAATGTGGAACAGAGACTGTGTGTGAAACACCTTTATGGTAATTGGAAGAAAAAACATGGAGGTGTGGTACTAAAACAAGCCATGTGGGAAGCAGCCAGAGCAACTTCAATTCCAATATGGGAAAGAGCAATGCAGAAATTGAAGCTTTTAGATGGTGGAGCATGGAAGGACTTGAATGACATTCCAGCAATGTTCTGGACAATATCACATTTCAAGACATATGCCAAATGTGATATTCAAGTGAATAACATGTGTGAGGCCTTTAACAGGGCAATTTTGGAGCATCGAGACAAGCCAATCATAACCTTATTGGAATGAATCAAACATTATATCACTAAAAGGATAACTAAACAAAAGGGATTATTGCAGGGATATGAAGGAGTAATCTGTCCTAGAATCCAATTGTTAATTGAGAAGCACAAAAGGGAAGCACAAGACTGGACCCCAACTTGGCATGGTGATGATGATCTCTCAATCTTTGGAGTTACCAATGGAACTGAGACATATTGTGTAAATCTGAAGAATGAATCATGCAGCTGCAGAAAATGGGAGTTGTCTGGAATCCCATGTTGTCATGTTATCTCCTGCATTTGGAACATAAGAAAAAAACCAGAAGCATATGTCTCTCCATATTATAGGTTTGTGAGTCACATGTTATGTAACATATTTCTATGTCCTGTTTATGATATGTTCTATTAACTCTTGCATGTGTAACATTATTTCTGTTTTGCAGCAAAGTTACATTTGAGAAATGCTATGCTAATATTGTCATGCCAACCAATGGACCACAATTATGGACTGATGTTGATCATGTGCCTATGTGTCCTCCTGTCATGAGAAGAGCAATTGGACGTCCAAAAAAGATGAGAATTAAAACAGGTGATGAGCCAAAGAACCCCCATGTGCTTTCAAGAAGCTTTTCAACTGTCACTTGCAATAAATGTGGACAAACTGGACACAACAGTAGGACTTGTAAGGGCAAGAGGGCAGCTGATAGGCAGATACCAAAAGGAGGCAATAAGAAGACCAAGCAAACAAAGACAACCAAGAAGGCAAAGAAGACTAACAAGACTAAGAAGACTAAAGATGCAGAAAAACAGATTGAGATTGGTCAGGGATCTCAAGCACCTCAGCCTAGTCAAGAGTAGAAGTAATTAGGAATGATGTTGCTTTTTTTTGGAATGAAACTTGATGTATTAGTGGAAATCTTTAGTATGGTTATAATGGATATCTTTAGTATGGTTATATTTTGTAATGAATATTTTGTAATGGATATGTTGTAATGGATATGTATCTTGTAATGGATATGTTTTGGTACAATCATGAATTTGGTACACACTCCAACATAGAAACTCCAACATTAATAAACCTACACACAACAATACAAATAAACCTCCAATACTAATAAACCTAGATCATTTCAACCAACACAAAGAACCTCCTACAGACAACAATGAACCTCCAATAATAATAAACCTACATCATTTCATTATTATTGTTGCAACAAATGCAACCAACACAAAGATGGTTATGAACCAATTAAACTTCAACTGTTTCTTTAAAAATTTGATCTTCATCCTTGTTTCTTCTTCTTTTA